CCCATCTTCCTTCCGAGGAGTGGCTGGTGGGTTTGAACCACCAGCCTTCTGGTTAGCAGTCAAGTGCCTTAGCCACTATGCTACCAGAGGGCAAAGCTGGTAGTAGCAGGTTAATAAATAATTGTTATGTGAATGAATGAATGAATGCTTAGTGTCCATTATACAAATTAGACATGTTTCTTGAATTCAGAAAGCTGTAAGTGTTCAGAAAGAAAATCATGTAGACAACAGTGTTGTGCCCAAGAGCTCTTAGGGTCTGCCTAAGAAGTTGAATTATTCCCAATATTTCTCTGGGCTTTTTAATCACCTCATATGCATATAAAAGCTGACTAATGAATAAGGAAGAGTGAAGAAAATTTGAAGCCTTTGCATTATGGTGTTGCCAAAGAATACTGAATATATCATGGACTGGCAGAAGAATAAACAAATCTGTCTTGGAAGAAGTATAGTCAGAATGCTTCTTGGAAGCAAGGATGGCGAGACTTCGTTTCACACACTTTGGACACGTTACTAGGAAGGACCAGTCCCTGGGGGAGGATGCCATGCTCATTAATGTAGAGGGTCAGCAAGAAAGCAGAAGACCTTCAACCAGATGGATTGACCCAGCGGCTGCAATAGGCTCAAACATAACAATGATTGTGAGGATGGGGAAAGGGCAGGCAGTGTTTTGTTCTCATGCACACAGGGTAACTATGAGTCAGAACCTACTCAACGGCACCTAACAACCCCGGGCTGGACCTACAATGAGTGCAGAAATCCTTCACTGTATATGGTTGAACTACTTCTTTGCTCCTAGGACGTTTCCCTGGCTCCGGGTAAGACATTGTCTCCTCATTAGAAACATACTGTCTTTGATGAAAACCTTCTTTTTAAGAATATCCTTTGATGTATAAATAAATATTTCACACACCTTTTCCATTACCATCCATAACACCTTCCCACAGAACTACATCCTTAGTAGCATCACCTTGGAGAGTACCAAGGTTGAGGTGAGCCCCTGGTAAGAATTGAATGGTGTTCCCTAAAATAGAGATGTTGAAGTCCTAACCCCTGTACCTGTGAGTGT